TATGTAGATTCTACGCATAAAGCAATTCCGGAACGTTTGGCAAGTAAGATCGATCAAGGGAAAGATAAGAGATTGGAATTGACTAGTGAGGCCAGGTGAGTGCATATTCAATAGTATACGATGTGCGATGGGAATAAGACTTGCGATGAGTCTATTTCCTAAAGTGTTACACATGAATTCATGATTAAAGGCATGAGTGGAATATGCATGTATGTATGTTTGATTATGGATTGATCTGTTCTTTTATGTGTTAGATGATAAAGTATAAGTAATTACATAAGAAAAGTTATGAATTATATGAGATATAAACTATGTGATCATAGTAAAATATAATTATATTATTATATGATAAGTGAAATAAGCTGGATAATATTGATCTATAGGATGAAGTGAGAATAGTACACTAACTAGGAGATTTGAACATAAATGATAAGATGAACATATAAGATACGCTAGATGGGAAAGATTCATATGTTTAAATAAAACTATAACACATGGGTTGTATGATAGAAATTTATGAAGCTATATGAGAAGATTATAGGAGTTATATGAAATTGAATTAAGTAACAATTAGATTATATATATATAGAAATAATAGAAGTGAGATGTGTTTATAAGTCTGCCCTAGATGAATATGAATATGAATTATAAGAGTGCTATATGATTTATATTAGGATAAATCTTGAGGATATATATATATAGATAGATATGAAATGAAATGAAATGAGTTATATGAATACATAATTATGTGATGAAATGGTGGATTACCTGAACATGTGAATATATATAGGTCTAAGAGAAGGCATAAGATTAAGATATAAGCAATGTGACTATAAGTATATATGTGCTCTAAGTGATATGACTTATAGGTATTTCTATTATAATGTTACATAATATGTTATGTATGTTAAATGAATTATGTGATGGTATAAGAAATGATATGAAATATATATGTGAAAACAAGTATATGTTATGAGATAAGACTTATGACTATAAGCTACGTGAAAGTGTTCTAGGTGTTTCGATATATTATATGAAGTATATGATCTTATGTGAACAAGATATGATAAGTATGTTTACATGAATAAAGGTGATTGGGTGAGAAATGATAGAAATTATATGAAAACATGACATATGTGACATGTGAATTATATGGAAATGATCTACGTGTAAGTGAACTACGTGACTATGTGATCATATGAAAAGAAGCTATGTGATACGTGATATGTGAAAGTGAATTACAAGTTTATGTGAATATTTGAAATGAAATAAATGATAACGCCCATGTTATGTATCATGAGAGCTAGGGGTATAGTTGGCATGCCAAGAGTCGAGGGTCTACGCGGTTCTTTGGGACATATGTATATTCTTTGGAACATGTGTGAAGTCTTGAAAGACACATACTTGATCCCTAGCATATGTATATGATTCTTAAGGAATTCTATGTGGTCCTTATGGACATCATTATATGGCACTACGGTGCAATTCTACGCGGTTCTTTGGGACATATGTATATTCTTTGGAACATGTGTGAAGTCTTGAAAGACACATACTTGATCCATAGTATATGTATATGATTCTTAAGGAATTCTATGTGGTCCTTATGGACATCATTATATGGCACTACGGTGCAATTCTACGGGGCACTTCGGTGCATTTATACGAGCTGTGGTGACAGCATAGTGCACAACCTCTATAGACTCACATATCAATAGTTCTCATATATGTACATGGGCTAATCCAGAGATATGAACAAATATAAGTTAGTGGTATGATAAATGCTATAGAAATGATGAATTATGTGTATGTATGTATTTACTGCAATTAATCTGATATGATTTTATACGATATGAAAAATGCATGGAATTGCTATAACATGATAGAATAGAACATGCATGTATCAATATATGTTTTAAAGTGCATTATAAGTTGTTATGCCTCACTAAGTCTTCGACTTAGCGTGTGATTGTTTCACACGTAGGTTTCGAGAAGAGTAAGGAGTGATGCGGAGCAAGACAGGTCAGTTTTCCTTACCAAAAGATCAGATCAGAAATATTTGACAAAGTATGTATTTGGTTATGTATAAAGTGTTGGCATGTAATAAGTCATTAAGTACGAGCACTCTGATAAAGTCTTTATTTTGATTTAAATAAAGTTTTAAATTTCCCGGGATTTTTCTTAAGAGTCAAGGTTTGAAAAGTCAATGTGACACTTCGGACTCGTATCCGGGTCGGATACGGGTTGGGGGTGTTACATGTTCAACTTCAGTTGGCATGCTAGAGTAACAAGACTAGAAAAGCTGTTGCATTGATCGAGGTGTGAAGACATATTAAAATCAGTCTTCAAGTGGGAGATTGTTGAAAGTATTAAAATGGTTTTCAAGTTTGGTAACCAACTTTGAAAAAATGGTTTTCAAAGTTTGGTAAATGTTTCTTTGAAAATGGTTTTCAAAGTTTGGTAAATGTTTCTTTGAAAAATAGTTTTTCAGAGTTTGGTAGATATTTGTTGAAAAATCATAATGAGATAATCACAATTAATCTCTAGGCTTTAGGGTATTTACAAGATTAAGTCCTTAAGTTTCAACTATAAATACTCTAGCTCATTTAGCTTCAAATCCATCCCCAAAAATCATTTCTTTCTCCCAATACTAGAGAGTTTTCTTGTGAGTAGTGAGTGTTTTGTAAACACCTGTAAATTTTCTCTCTTAGTAAAAGATCTGCAGCAGTCCGGAGATGTAAGCAAAATTGGTGAACTCCGTTATCATTTTCGAGTATTATTTTTTCGCTTTTATTTCGCATTCTCACTAATCTGGTTATAGGGAAATTACTTGTACTCGGTTTATTTCCCAACAAAAGGGACTCAAGGGATCTCCTTTCGTTGCAAATAAGGAACAAAAAGGGACTCGAGGGATTTCCTTGACGAAGCCCACGAGAAGGATTGAATTTATAGCTAGCCTTTCCATTAATAATGATCGAATATGAGACTGATGAGACACAATCCATAATTCGATTGACCCACTCCATGGAGAAACCCATTTTGTACATGACCTTTTCAATGAATTGCCATTTTACCCGATCATAAGCCTTGCTCATGTCCAACTTCAAAGCAAAGGATTCTCTTCGGTCGATCCTCCTATTTTTGAAAGAATGGAGAATCTCATAGGCTGCAATAATATTGTCTGAAACAAGACGGCCTAGAACGAAAACACTTTGAGCCTAGTCAATGCATCGATCTATCGAAGTTTGTAACATGTTTGCCAAAATCTTTGAAACAATTTTGTAAAGTATATTGCATTATATTGCAAATACTAATAAGGCGATATTGAGACATGTGTCTCTGGTCACTCACCTTAAGGATGAGTATAATTTCAGTATGATTAATCCCACTTACTAGAATTTCACCTTTCAGTTTCGAAATGCAAAAATTAGAGACTTCATTGCCAATTATCCTCCAGAACCTTTGATAGAAAAATGGCACCTAGACCATCTTCCCCAACAGCTTTCAAAAGATTCATAGATTGTAGGGCGGACCAAATTTCTTGATTAAAATCACGTAAAAGGGAATCATTGTTAGCAGAGGTGATGTTACAATCAATTTCATTCAAAATATCATCACAAACATTCGAGCCATTGGTTGTAAAAATATTCAAGAAATACTCTAAAATATTCAAGAAATACTCTAAGGCCGTAGAATAAATACCATCTTCATCTTAGTAATAAGAGCCATCATTTGCCTCAAGACCACTAATTCGTTTAGTTTGGCGCCTTTGGGAAGCAAAATTATGAAAAAACCGAGAGTTTCTATCGCCATTCTTCAGCCAATTAGCTCGTGCTCTTTGCTCCCAATAAACTTCTTCCTTGTCCAATTCGAAGTTCTGCTAAAGTTTCGTATCCCAAAGGATATCATCGGACAAGGGTTGCGAATTTAGAAAATCAATTCGTTGGTGAAGATCTTTAATAGATCATTTTTTCTCCTTTATTTTCCTGGCCAAGAAGCAAGACCTATGCTGACACTCTGAAGTTTTTCGGGTACTGTTCCTTCTGCATTGTTCCACAATTTACGGACTTGATCTTCACAAGAGGGTTCGAGTAACCATACTGCCTCAAATTTGAACTACCAATCTCTGTTTTAGAATGGATTCACAACCGTATTAAGGAGAATAGGACAATGATTCGAAATCGAATGAGTGAGGTGATTCACATGGAAATTCGAAAACAACTCCGACCATGTTGAATTGGCCACTCCTCGATCTAGACGCTCTCGTATATTATTTACTGCTCCCCACGTAAACCAGGTACCTTTGAAACCCATATCTTCAAGATTGCAATCTGCTAAAGCGTTTCTGAAATTATTCATTTGCCACTCGTTCCGCGGGAGACCACCCTGTTTTTCTGAGGAGTTAATAATTTCATTGAAGTCACCCATCACACATCAAGGCATATTGGGAGTATTGTTGAGACTCTGAAGAAGTTGCCAAGATTCTAGCTGATCTCTGACATCAGGAGCTCCGTAGAAGCCAGTAAACCTCCAAGAATTTCCATAATAATCATTAGTAATCATAACATCAATATGCTTTACTGAATAAGAACGAAGGGAAACCAAAAGACTAATTTTTCCAGCTAATAGAAAGACCACCTCTACTACCCAAAGAACTTATATCAATACGACATTCAAAACCACACTTTTTTCTGACTCTTTCCATCCTCGATTTGTGCAACTTTGTTTCGATGAGGAAAAGAATCGCAGGGTCGATGTCTCTCAGTGAATATAGCAGATGGCGAGCATTCCGGGATGACCTCAGCCCCCGGATGTTCCAACTTAAAATTTTTATTGCGTCCGGCCGGCTGAGCGAGGCTTGCCGATAAAACATTGTTTGCACCAGTCAAATCTTCAGTTACAGAAACTTCTGGTGGTTGGTTATAGATCCGTGGTCGTTTCAGGTCCACCGTTTGTTCAATGGGGTTGTCTTCCTCTGCATTATTCATTTCCACATCAGCTCCTTAATTGAGGGTAAGCATATTTTTGGGAACTTCAATTAACATGCCATGATTAATATTGGTTGAATATAATTGATTGATAGGCGCCTTTGATTTAGCCACTGCAGAAGAACTTTTGTCTCCACTAATTTGCTTATTTCTTTCCTGTATATCATTAAGATTCGATACTTTTCTTCTTTGATCAGCAGAATTATCGGGGCTGGAATTACTTTGATTAGGCTTGATTTCTCCAAGTCTGGTCGGAAAAATTGACCCACCATGTTGACCTCCTTCCTCTTCACGTAGCCATCTGCCGTACGGAGGTGCTGATCTCCTTTGTGGAGCACGTAGCGATGCATCCCATTCCATGGCGATTTCTTGATTTTCGCTATATAACCGAACTGGACAAAAGCTTTCACCATGGCCCAGTCTTCCACATATGAAACAAAATAGAGTCAAATTTTCATATTCGAACCTGACATAATTATGGCTTCCGTTTGCTAGTAACATCTTTCTACGTTTTAATAGGATTCTTGAATCGATTCTAACTCTGACTTTCATTATTCTTTTGTAGCCAAGAGATATCGCCAATGAATCATATTCTAAGAACGTACCAAGTCGTGCCACTCTCTTAGACATAAAACCAAGTGGAATGTCGTGTATTAGAAGTAGAACCCAATAATCCACATTGACCAATGGAACAGTCATAGGGTCATCAGCTTCTTGTAGTCCATGTAAAATAAGCAAATGAGAATTGAAAGACCAAGGTCCACCCTTCTCTATCTGATTTGCGTCAACCGCATGGTATAATCGAAATAGAAATCCTCATGCCAAACATTTGCAAGAGTAGCCCTCATAGATTGGAAGTTGATGATGCTAGAGGTAAGGAAAGAACCAACAAAACAATGAATGATTCTGTCGAATCTTCCGGAGTAAGGATCAGTTGTAAAGCATCATAGTCTTCATTTTCGATTGAATGACCTACCAGACTTTCTTCCATGCCTGCCATGAAGGAAGACTAAGAAGAAGCTAAGTAAAGAAGCAAAGCGAAAAACGTGCCACTAAGAGGAGGAAAAACGTGCCACTAAGAGAAGAGGAAAAACGTTGAATTTGATCTTCGTAACAATTACACATTAGATTTTTATAGTCTTAAATCTAAATCAATTGTTCAATAAATCATATATTAGTGATTATACCAAAAAAAATATTTGTCTTAATCACTAAAGCCATTCAATATGTCTATTTAAAAAATATTAGCCAACTATACCGCGACATGTGAGTTTTACTTTCCTTCATTATTGATATCGATACTTTCCTCGTTTGCTTTTAAATTTTATTTGATATAATTTTATTCGTAATAAATTTTAAATCTAATCTTAATCTTATCTATGGAGGAAAAGAAGGGAGGCTTCAGAGAAAAAAATATAGTGCTTCTATTAGGTCTAAAACTAATAATCTAAGAAAATATGAGTAGATAAATATGATCAACTTGACCAACCAGCTAAACATAATTCCTAAATTAATTTACTTATTTTTTTATATATCTTTTTTTTTAGTAATAAAGAAAATACAATGGAGTGTAGGCTTCTCCTTCAACGTTTATTTGCATAGCAATGGGGCCACCAGAACTCTTTGATGTTTGTTCCGATAATAATATGTCGCATACCCATATTCCAAGCCATGGATAATCCCTCATAGATGCCCCAAAGTTATATTTTCCTATTTAAAGTTATATTTTCTTTCAATTTTTTTGACAATCCATTTACTTCCTTTTTTTTTTTTGAACAAGCAAGCAATGATCTTCTTGACAACCCAAGATTTTGGGTTAAGTGACTATATTATTCATAAAGTTATGCAATCCTCACTGGTTCACACTCTCTTGAATCCTATTAAATAGTTATGATACGGGAATAGTACATGTAAAATAATCCCCTTTAATTAAGAAATTGAAGTTATTTTTAAGATGATTCTTCTATGTTCAACGAGCGGCAATGAATATCACTAATGATGAACACCGATAAATTAATTTATAAAACGTTAAAATTCTAAAGGACTCAACGTATAATTATAAATTAGTTGAAAATTCAAAGGTAAATTATAAACGAGCGGCGATGAGCACCACTAATGATGAACACCACTTGTAGTTCATAATCAACGGAAAAGCTATGTGACAGTTAAAATATTTGGTATAATTACAAATTTAATCGTTGTTACTTATATATTCTATTAATTTGGTCCTAATTTTAATAAATTAAAATAAATGTATAGAACTAATATTTTGATATAACAAATAAGGGAAAAATGTTTTTGGACCAAATTGAATTTGTTCAAATATTTGAAAAATAATTCAAAGTTTATAAGTTTTTAAAAGGCAAAACAAACAATTTTGGGTCTGGTTTCGAAATTCATTTAAGAGGTTTCAAAACCCCTATGGCAGAATACAAAACTTGCAAAAGGTTTCGAAACCCCCTTGCCCAATGGTCAAAATTTTAAATGAAGGTTTCAAAACCCCTTAAAGGTTTCAAAACCCCTGCGCAAAATTACAGATTTTTTAGCTCTCAACGGCTCCAAATCATCTCCAATGGCTAGAAACAACTAATAACTATTCCAACATGTAAAAACAAGTTGAGGACTCTTGAAGAAGGAGACCAACACCTATCCAAGCATTCATACACAAGAGAAGTTTTTCATTCTATATTTTATTTCTCTTGTAAATATTTGTGCTTTTGTGAGCTTTAATTTGTAAACACTTTCTTTTAGAGGTTTCTTGTTTACAATTCTTTTCCTCTGTAAATGAATTTTGGTTTTAGCCAAGCCTTTGAAAAGCTAGGAGTTTGTAAACGTTATCTCTTTATCCTTGAAAAAGAAAGAACAAATTAGTGATTTGTTGGAAACTTTTAAGTGAGGAGCTTAGGTAGTGGATGTAGACTTCTCTGAGGAGTTGAACCACTATAAATCATTGTACAAATATTCCTATCTTTATACTCCTTACTCCCTAAATTTCAAAAAGCCAATTCACCCTCCTTGGCATATTTCGGTTAATCGATCGAGCTTCATAAATTTTAACAATTGGTATCAGAGCTTGACTCATTAGAAGGTCTAACAATTTTGAGATGATCCTTGAAGAAGCTCTATCAATTTTTGACACAACTAAGAAGATGACTTCCACATCCAACTCATTCAATATGAAATACTCTCAACCGATCGGCAAGCCTCCATACTTCAATTGAGGTAACTATCATCATTGGAAGAAATTATTGAAGCTATTCATTCAATCCAATGATCTTGATGCATGAGAGACGATCGAGAATGGTTACTCTTTTCCAAAGAAGAAGACGGAGGAGTGGATTGACCAAGAACAGAAGTAAGCTTAACAAAATGCCAAGGCCATGCACATGTTGTTTTGTGCATTTGGTCTCAATGTATACGAAGGATTTTCTTTTTGTTCAAATTCCAATGAGCTTTGGAATAAGCTCGAAGATATCCATGGAAATAAGAAAGAATAATCAACAAATGTGGTATGCTTAATGGCTCTTGAAGAGCCCAAAATATCTTCTAATTTTAGTGAATCTAATTCATATTCTTTTAATGAGTTACAAGATGCAAACGATGAATTATTTTGGAGTTTGAGATCATGAACTCTAAATACAATAAATTGATTTCTAAATTTAAAATTAAAAATGATTTTCTTTTGAAAGCTAAAATGGATTTTGAAAACTAAAATGAAATTTTGAAAAAAGATTTAGAGCTTTCAAAATAAAAAATTGGAAATTTAAAAAAATAAAGTTTTGATTTAAAAGTTAAGATTGAATGCTTAACTAAAAAAATAATTTTAAATAATTCATCTAGTTTAATAATGGCAAAATGCTCACATTGCCATTATTATGGTCATTTGGATCATACTTGTCCTTTAAAGAAAGGAAAAAGTTTAAAATTAAACAAGTATGGATTCCAAAAGGAACTAGAGACATTTGCACTAACACTCAAGGATCCAAAGCAATTTGGATACCAAAATCCAAATAAATGTCTCTTGTAGATGTGTAGGAGCAATGGTGACAAAAATGAAGATATTCAAATACTCTAGCCACACTTGGTATGGAATGAATAACCTCTAAGCTTATTTTAATTTTGCATAATTGGTTGTCTATTTTGTTTTATACATGCATGAGTATTGAGTATGAATGATTACATGTTATTTATTATCTCATGTATGTTGAAAATGTGTAATGATTAACATATTTAAAAGTTATTTTTTTTTCAATTTTAATTCATCATAATATTTTTGGTCAAGTTATATTTCTATGTTTTAAATGGTTCTTTCAAAATATCTTAACCTTTAAAGTGTGCCTTTATTGAAAACTATTTATAAAACAAGTAATATCCTTAATTTATTGAACAACTTTAACATTTGGAATCACCTTAAGTATATGATACCAAATCTGATAATTTTTTTTAAAATATTTTTTATTGGTGTCATTTTGGATGTTTATGCATGTGATTTATTACAAATGATATCTCTAACAATTGATATCAATTTTTCAAATGCATAACATTTTTTTATATAACCTCTAACCTTAAATGTTTGAATTATTTTTGATATAACAAAAAGGGGGAGAAGTATGGGTTGAAAAATTCAACTTCAAAAATGAAAATAGGGAGCTTCAAAAACTATTTTTCAAAGGTTTTGTTATATCAAAAAGGGGGGAGATTGTAGAACTAATATTTTGATATAACAAATAAGGGAAAAAATTTATGGACCAAATTGAATTGTTCAAACATTGCAAAATAATTCAAATTTGTTAAGTTTTTAAAAGGTAAAACAGACAATTTTGGGTTTGGTTTCGAAACCCCTTCAAGAGGTTTCAAAACCCCTATGGAAAAATGCAAAACTTGTGAAAGGTTTTGAAACCCCCTTGCCTAATGATCAAAATTTTAAATGAAGGTTTCGAAACCCTTACGCAAAATTGCAGATTTTTCAGCTCCCAATGGCTTTAAATCATCCCTAACCGCTAGAAACAGCTAGTAACTCATTCCAACTTATAAAAACAAGTTGAGGACACTTGAATAAGGTGACCAGCACCTATCCAAGCATTCATACACAAGAGAAAAAAATTTCATTCTTTATTTTCTTTATCTTGTAAATATGTGTTTTTGTGAGCTTTAATTTGTAAACACCTTCTTTTTTAGAGATTTCATTGTTTACAATTTTTTCCTTCGTAAAGGGGTTTTGGTCCTAGCTAAACCATTGAAAAGCTAGGGAGTTTGTAAAGTTTATCTCTTTATCCTTAAAAAAGAAAGAACAAATTAGTTAATTTGTTGGAAAATCCTAAGTGATGAGCTTAGGTATTGAATGTAGACTTCTTTGAGGATGTTGAACCACTATAAATTATTGTGCAAAATTTCTTATCTTTATACTCCTTACTTCCTAAATTTCAAAAAGCCAATTCACCACTTTTAGCATATTTTAGTTGATCGATCGAGCTTCATAAATTCTAACAAAATGTAACCTTCAAATATGCCAAGGTAGTTATTTGGAGAGGAATCCAATTTAATGCCAGCTAGTACAATTTTTTCTTTTCTCTTTATTGGCTTTTATTATTTGTAATAATAAAGTAAAATAAACATGTCAATGTTTTGTGATGAGATGTGTCACATTTCTTCATGTTCTTCAATTTTTTAACTTAAAATATTATATTTTACATTAATACAAACAAGACAATTAGTATGACAAATACATGTTTTTAAATTATATCTTTCAATGATTTTAAGAGTTTAAATTAGATGTTTTATTTTATTTTGTAATTACTTTTAGACCGTTTGTTTTAAAAAAAAATTATTACTAAGCTATCCAAGTATTATAACTTTACGTTTATCTAATTCGACGCATTATAAGTAAAATCTAATTGTTTTGTATTAATTTTTAAGAGTTTAAATTTTGATTTTACTTAATATAGATATATTTTTAAAATCAAAGCACTTGATTTTTTTAATTTCTCAAAAATGAAATTAATTTTTTGTAAGTTTTCTTTTCTTTTCTTTCTTGTTTGTTTTCCTACAAATTGAAAGAATAAGATGAATAAAGACTATTTTGACATCATTTCATTTGAGGGTTAAATTTATTTTAATTTATTAAAATTAGAATTAAATTGATAGAATATATAAGCGGCATGGATCAAATGTGTAATAATATCAAATATTTTAACTGCCACATCAGCTTCTCCGTTAAATAGTAACGACAAGTGGATTAATTGAATGCATTTAAATAGTTGAGTAATCTGCTTGATAAAATTTCAAAAATGGTGGTTAAAATAAAAAGGGGTAATAGTTAGGTGGTCATTTGTATAATTTACCTTTTATTTTAAATAATATACCTTTAAATTTTCAATAAATTTATAATTATACGTTGAGTCATTTAAAATTTAATTTTTTATAAATTAAATTAATTATGTTCATCTTTAATGGTGCTCATTGGTACTTGTAGAGCATCATAGAATTTTCCTGTTTTTGAAGCTTAAAAACGTCCATTAACTTATAATAAAATTTTAGATAAAACTTGAGTATTTTTAAATCAAGTTGCCTTCTTACAAAATAATTTATTATCAAGTAATATTTTCAACGTATCTCAAAACGCTTCAATTATATGAAAAACTCAAAATATACTTGTTTTAAAAAAGATAATATAGTCTAAAAAATTTATACATCCCAATATGAGTTTTTTTTTTAATAATTACAAATTTTTTATATTGTATTCATTATTTTTAATTAAATTTAATATAAAAATATTTATAAGTATTTTAGATAAATTAGGGTCAGATTTAATATTTATTTTATAAAATAATTTAGATAAATAAAGATTTATTTTATTTTATTTTATTAAATTTTATAATTTAATTTAAATATATTTCTAGAAATTTCACTTAAAGTTTAAATATTTTGTAGTATATAATTATACTTTTCTCATATGTAATTCAAGGCATAATTCAAAAATCCATCAATATTCTTTTTCTTTCGTATATACACCTAAAACTATACTTTGATAACTTTAAAAAGATAGTCGTCCATTTATTATGTTTAAAAGCTTTCTCTTGTTTTGTCAAGGTAAAATGTCTTTAAAAGGTTATCCATTTATGCACACGATCCTAAAGAATATTATTATGTTCAGAACGAACGTAAAATTTTATGTTAGAAAAAACGATCTTAAACTTAAAGGGATTAATTAAAATTCCAGGAGCAAACTAAAATTTTATATACATTTAATAATTTTATGTTAGAAGTCGTTACTTTGTCCTTTTGTTCAATAATTTAATGTCTCAACTGCTGCAGTATCGTGATGGCATCGAGCGAGCACCCGCTAAAGTCCACCGAAATCGTTCGTCTCCTTGCGAGAATATTCTGCCCACTTCCTTGGAAATAATATTGATGGACTTTGAATAGGAATTAGTGACCGTCAAATGTAATTAACAATTTAACATTTTATATACATTTAATTGACTTGACTTGAGATAAATTAGAAAGACAAATTTTTTTATTATCAAATATTCAATAATATTATGTTTTCAATTTAACATTTTATATACATTTTATTATCAAATTTTTTATTATCAAATAATAGTTAGGTGGTCTGATTGATAAAATTAAAAGATCGGTGATAAAAGTAAAAGGGCTAAATAGTTGGGTGGTCAATGATATAATTTACCCTTACTTTTTTTTTATTTGGGTAAAAAATTATAGTTGCTTCAATTTAAGGCAGTTTATTTTATTTTTCATGATGAAATAGTACAAAATTTAACGAGGGTCATATAGTTTTATCTAAATCAGATCCACATTTTCAGTTGAAATGTTTTATGGTGGATTTTAGAGGTGGTACTGATAAGGACAGATGTAAAATTTTAGGTTATGATAAATTTATAAAATTTAAAAGGGATGGAGTTTATAAACTTTAAATGAAGACGAAAATAAATTTTTAATAGAAATTACAAAGAGAATATCTAAAATATATATATAAAAATTTAAGAACAATTGTCCCCACTCGCTACTACCTAGGTCTACACTGATATCAGGTGTAGAACTATTATAACAATGCGTAGATTAGTAAAATAAATAGATATGATTAGTTAATATAATATATTAAACTTTGATAAACTATGTGAATTTATTAAAGATTATATCACTAAATTATAACTTTTCAAGGAATATTAGTTATGTGAGAGATCTTTTTGGAGATGCTCCCTTTATGTTTTTTGAAATTCTTGAAGTATCGAAGATTTATAAATACTTCTGAATCCTCCAAAAATTTTGCCCAAACTTGTTTTAAAAGAAACTATTGGGGTCCACAAAACACGATAATTTGTAGTAATTATTTTAGCCGACGATGCGTAATGGAGGCAGCTCAGATCAACAACCGTTAAATAAAATACAAAATGTACTGATCACTCCACCAAAACTTTTCATTTAATTATTCCATTAATCGATTGACCCCTATTCTTCAATTTCCTGACATCTTCCTAACAAGGTTAGGTGTGGGTCCGTGGGATGCTTCCTCGTGTCACGTATGAGTTGTGACAACCTAGCTTAAAATATTATTCTTCCAACTTTATTACATTTTCAATACCCATAATATATTAAGAAAATCTAAAAAATTGACATCTAGGGTTTCTTGTTTTCCTGTAATTAATTTTTTAGAAAATTTTTTTTTTTCATTTTTCGGTGTTTGTTTGGTAGAAAACAGATGGTCAATATAATTCATTTTCCTGATCAACTGAATTTCTTTTTCATTTTCTGGAAAATGACTTACGGTCTGATTTTTTCGTTAATCTTTTTACGAACTTTTAACTTCAAAGTATAGACACTCGAAATATTATTATTTTATATGTTTAATATTAATATGTTATTTTAGTATTATTTTAATATAATATTAATTATTGAATTATATAATCTTAATAATATAACATACTATTTTTTGTTATAATTATATTATTATATATAATATTATACTATCATTTTGATAATATATAATAAATTATTATTTAGTTTAATGTCATTTATTAATTCCATAAAATAATATTATTAAATATTTAAAATAGATTCCTTAAAATAATATAATATTTTATTTTAATATTTTAATAATATTAAGTAATTAATATAATTAGTAATGTGCTATTCTTATTTTAATAAATAATTAATATAATTTAATAATTTTATTTGTAGTTATAGTATGTAATAATAATATTATTATTTTATTAGTAAATAATATTATTTATTAGATTTAATATTTATAATAAAAAAATTTAAAAAATACTAACGGATGGAAAATAAATTATACAACATTATTCAAAATCATAAAATAATTTATAAAAGATATTTTTCTATAATTCACTTTACGAAATTTATTTGTTTTAATATTTTTTTAAATAAACCCACCTCTAGTTTGAAAAAGAAGGGTACTTTATTGCAACGTTAATCTCTGTGTTTAATTATTGGTGGACCGCTCTCTGATTATGAATCAAACGGTCGATTCTGTGGGTTGACGCGCGTAAGTTAGAAAAACTCGGCCGACTCGTCAGGTAGACTCGCGAGAGGCTCCCCTTTTATAAGAGAAAATATTTACGTGTAGCAGTCTTAATATATTGTTAAAATAAGGTGTTATTGATTTTATTATTATTTAAATTATAAAATTAATAAAAAATATCAAAAATATTATTAGACGATACTGATTTTTTTATTATTGGATGTTTTATCAGATTTAAAAAAAATGATCAAAAACATTATTAAACGTAATCGATTTGATTATTGTTAGACATTTTTACCATAAATATTAAAAATATTAATATTTTAGATAAAAATAATAATAATATTTTAAATATTTTTTACCGATATTATTATTTAAATAATAACAAAATTAATAACACCTTATTTTATCTTTTTAGTATAAGGTGTCGTACTGGAACTTCCATTTATAAGCGAGCGCGAGTTTGGAAGAAAGTCAGACACACAAATAAATGTAGGTACCACACCACGAAATAATGCAAAAGAGAAAGCATCCCCTCCCGTTCCCTAAACCAAAACTCCTCCGTACAACGGCATGGAAATGCTGTGAGGTATATGCTTTTGCATTAGGGATGGCATTGTTGTTTATATTTCAGATTTGTAATTATTTATTTTAATAATATAATATTTAGCAGAAGAGGCAGAGGCTGAAAAGACTGAACAGGCGGTTGGAGAGGATCAAATCTGATATCGAAGAAAGAAGCGAAGAGCAGGAAGAGATCAAAGAGAAGCAGACGGAGTTAAGAGAAAAATTTGAAGCCATTGACTTGGAATGCGCGCAACTTCAGAACGAGACTAGGTTGATAATACAGCAAAGTGCCAGAACCCAGATCCGCTTAGCTCTCATGTTTCAGATTCTGAAAGCAAGAGAAAACCAGGAACTGGACAAGGCAGCCTTGCTCACCAATGCTCTTCGGTATTTTTGGCTTCTCAATTGGATACTGTAATCTCCGTTAAGCCTTTGTAATCTCATCATGTTTTCTTCTACTTCTGTATTTGCAGTGAATTGATAGCGAGGGAAGAGCAGGAAATGAATGGTTCTGGAAAATGAAGGTTGCAGGTGGAGCCGAGTTCAATCGTTATTGATTTTCTTTTCATGTCTGTCATCCAACTTTCAGTACTGTTTGCGTCTTCACGTTTAGGTAGTATGTTTGGATTAAATAATAGTTTATGTTGTTGTACAGCTGCATGTCATACTGCAACACGAACCAACCAGCAATGTTTACATTTACCACGAACTCCGTATCTTATGAATTTTAAACACTATAATTAAAAGTACAGATAATAGTGCTTAAAAATTATAAACTTATATGTAGAGAATTTAAAACTCTATTAACTAAACTATACAGATAAGAAATTACAGAGAAGAAAGGTGAGAAGATTGCACTTGGGATTTCCATAACAATCCCCTTGCACTTATGTAGAGAGTTATGGTATTCTGTTACCTACAAGACTGGCGTGGCAGCCGCACAAAACCAACGTATTTGGTAGGAAGCTTCTTGACTCGACGTCTACTTCGACTAGCTGCTTTTTGGGCAAAAATGCCATAATAATGCATGTGTGGAATATTTTTCCCCTAACTAATGCCCATTTCCCCAAATGGGGTGAAATATACAGTGAAATCATGAATTGCTTGGATTTCTCGGTGCCTTCAATGGTTCTCCGTGCCCAAAGCATCCATCTTACTATAATGCAAATAATGCCAGGGAAATTAGAGCTTCGGATGCTCACAATTATGCTATTCGTTCACTATCCGATTCAAAAAATATTCCCCACATGCATTATTCTGGCATTTTTGCCCTGGTTTTTGGCCCGTGGTAGCTGCTTTCTTGACTCGATGCCTGGGAGTTATTTGTTGATCTGGTAACCTGACGCAATTGTGGAGCTAGGAAACATGAAAAATGAATGAATGCGTGCTGATTCGGGTAACACCGGTCGATAAGCAATTTGACTTAACTCAATTGTCTTCATTGAACACCACTTCTCATTGATGTTGGTCTGCAAAGCTTTTCATGCGTGCTTGTGCCTTGAGTAAATTGTGCTTAACACCAGCAGAATAGTTCAATAGCGGCGTTTTTTTAGTCTAATAGCTGCGTTTATAAGCACTACAGAAAAGCTTCCTGATGCAAAAAAAAAAAGTGCTGCTAAACTAATGCCGCAAAATTAATTGCGTTTGTAAACAAAAAAGGCCGCTATAAACCAAGATTTTTTGCGGCGTTTTATATATTTCATGTTATGTAGCGGTGTTTATGAGTAAAAAGTTACTATGTATTACGACATATAGCGGCGTTTGTTACTAAAATGCCGCAAAATGTTAAGCAATATAGCGACATTTGAGAGCCAAAAACTCCGCAAAAGTATAGTCCTTTAGTGGAGTTTTTATTTATCTTAAAACGTCACTAATCGAATATGTTATACGAATATTGTTTTGTAATGTTTATAGCTCAAATTTAATATATCTTATAACAATATCCAATAGCAACCTTCATACAACTCGAATTAAGTAAAAAATACTTAACAACATAAATAAATTAAAGTTTACAAACATTCAAGTGATGTAGTTCAACATTCAAGTGAAATGTAACGTAATTCAACATCCAAGTGAAATGTAATACAGTTCAACAACTATAATAAACATGACATGAAACTAAGAAATCACCTAGGTGGTGAATTTCGCGGTTGATTTTGTTGCATCATCTGCTTCACAGCTTTAAGTTGTTTTTGAAGTTCATAATATTTTCTTTGATATGTTGTTTATTGCTCTGCTTCTCTCGCTTCAACTTTAGCTTTCATTTGAGTAAATTTTTCATCCACTGCAGTCAACTGTTGTTTTAATCAAATAAATTATGATTGAGAAGACTGGCTCTGTAATGATATGTACTGAGAAGAACTGGATCCAAAATATTTGGATGGGGTAATGAATGATCTCTAATTGTGAACTCAATCATATTTTTTAGGACCAAAAACATCAACAATAACTTGATTTTCAATCTCACCGACATTAATGGAAGCATGAGATGAACCCATAGGAAAGCCATCTTTTTTTGAACATGTCATTTTGAATAGCTTTATTCGTCAAACTTTATTGCCAGACGTAATTTCCTACAATGCAGAATATAAATTAGTACTTAAAAAGTAATAATAATGGAAAATATTCATCAGTATGAATATCATAATTATATAAAAGAATACCTCCTCATGAGCTACACAAGTAAAGCTCTTCGATCCCACTTTATGAGTGAACTTTTGTTGTTGTCTACTAGCAATATCAAGCTTCTCTTGGTCCTACAATTTGAAATTTACATGAATTATAAATTCAAAATTATAGTGACATAATATTACTTTGTAAAGTTCATCATACCTCTCATTTCTCTGAACTCAAAATCTGACTACATCTTCCCATTGATACCTGAGCATTCCAGATGAGACATTTTGCAATTATTTTCTAGGCTAAGATTATTCTTAAAATAATAATTTTTCAAGGAACTTTTGTGGCCTCTCAATTTCTTTCCTAACGCTTGTTTCAAATAATCATCAGAGACCTCTAGAGAAAATTTATCCTACAAATAAAGTGTCAAAAGTAAATATAGAATACTATTGAATTGTAATGAATTATCTATAATAATAAAATTATTAACTTAATAAGATCCACAACCTGGCTTTTGTTATTATTCGAAATCTCACGCCACGACTCAAATTGATATGTAAGAAATTAGCATGCGTGCAATCACACCTAAGTAAGTGTCAGAACACGTGCTTCTGCCCTAATAGGTTTACCGACATCGTTACACGAAACTTTCACACGGTCCCCTAGAGGAAGTTTGTATAATTCATTCATTATCGAGCGACCTAGAAAGGAATGGCCAGTGGGTTCCCTAATATAACGAGAAACAGTTGGTGGCGATATCCCATAAAAAACCTCAGACAGAATCGTCTGAGCATGCAAAATGATGTGTTGTACCAATACACGACCCAAGGGAGAATATTCACCCAAGATTTATATATATATATTATATATATATATATATATATATATATGTTGTTACCATTTTTTCGCTCGGGTGGGGGGAAAACTAGTACGACTTAGGAGTTTTTCTTTGAAAAGATTTTGAAATGTAAAGAGTCGTCACCAATCATTTAAGGTGCGATGGAAGGAAGGATTAGCACCCCCACAGTGCCCAAAAATTGGTGCCTAATTGATTACCCTATATTTAAAAAATTGAAAATTTTGAGTTCGAACTTTATTTAATTTTTAAATATCATTGTGGATGTTTGTTTTGAAAAGAATGTTCATTTATTTAAGCCAATAGTTTTCACCCCTAGCGTGAATGTCGGAGATCAACTATCATGCCCAATAATTGGACATTGCCTTGATTTTAAGAAATCATGATGCGGTCTTGAAAAGGATGTTGACCTATTTCGGGAATCACAAGTAATTCCCCTGAGCGTACTTGCATGAGATATACTATTGACTCCCTAATAAGCGAACATTGCCTTAGATTTTAAAAACGTGTGCAATCAATCAACCGAATAAAACCTAATTTCACTAGGTGAATTCATTAAGGCTTCTCCTGACCTAAAGTGTTAAATTATGAAATTAAGGAACCTAGAGGATCTAAACTTGAAATGAGACTCTAATATTAACCCTAGCTGATTTTATTAACCAATTATTGTATCAAATAATTGATTTGAGCAATCGGACATTTTCTTACGAAAATTCAAATCGAATCATCCTCTAATTAAAGGACTAAGATGAAATTATACCTAAGGTGTAGGCTCTAATTGTTAACCTAATCAATTATGTTAAATTAAAATTTTCATTAAAAGTTTAAGGACTAAAACGCAAGGAAACTAAAGTCCATATACCTAAGTGTAAAAATCTAAAGTTTAGGGACCTAAATATAAATAAACTAAAGTAGAAGGACTAAATCTGTAACACCTAAAAGTTTAAGGACTAACCAAAAAATCAAGGCTTTAATAATCGTCCTAATTAACTATTAAAAATTAAGGGATTAAACTAAGTAGGCTCTAAAATTAGTTAATGATTAACAATTTATGGATTTTATGCGAAAACTCGATAATAAAAACAAATTAAATAAATTACATTTAAAATAAACAACCAAAAATATTTAAATTAAAATCTAATAAATTAAAATATACAGGGGCCTAAATCGAATTAACATTGAATTATAGGGGAATTAAGGTGAAATTAAACATGCAATTAAAATAAATGGATCAAATTGAAATAAAATAAAAATTGAACGTGTAATTGGTAAATAAACTCGGGACTTAAATGCAAAAATACTAAAAGAAGAAGGGCTCAAACGAAATTAAAACAAAAATAAAACATGCATACAAAAAATGGAAATAGCAAGATGATACACTTAAAAAAATGGTAAGTATGAAATTTGGTCCTCGTAGGTGACCAACCTGTAAAAAACGCGTGAGATTCGGGGACAAACGCAAAATTCTCATTTTTCTTTATATAAAATATCCTTCCCTAACCTATTTTACACTTTTCTTAGTTGCCTGAGGAGAGAGTCTCTCGACTCTCTTTAAATTCTCACCGAAAATCCTCCTCGGCCTCACTTTTCATGCTCCGACCACTGTTCGTGGTTGCAGGGAAGGCAAGAGATGGCCTAAATCAACCATAACCCTCTTCTTCCCTCGTTTATCCCAAACTACACACCATTTAGCCAAAACCGAACCTAAATTTATTTTTGAAAACCAAAACCCATTTCAAAATAGAACAAACCTAAAGGCCACCTCCCTCTATCGATCCTCGGTGACGACGACCCTTCCCGAATGTCGTGGGTGCCCGGAGACAACCCAAACGTCTCAGGTAAGGGAGGAATCGAAGTGTTTTTGTGTTATTTTTTTTGTATTTTATGCATGCATTTGAAAGAAAAATAGAAAAAGAGCTATGTTGAAACATTTTTTCCTTTTTTGTATTGATTCGAACCCGTGAATGTTACAATATGGGAGGCAATTTTATAGAACCCCTCCCTCTAACAAATGGTAAGAAAAACTTTCTGATTTTTCTTTTGTTTTGTTGCTTTTTGGTGCTGGATGTTTGACCGAGGGGAAGTGCAACGACGGTGACGTGGGTGGCAGAGGGGTAAAAAACTTTTTACCACAAGGCTCGTTTGGCCGTTATGGTGATTGGTTAACTCGAGGTTTCGATGGCAGACTACGGGAACATGAGAGGCATTGGCGCGTGGAGGAGCACGTTGCAGTC